AAGTGAAGTGACATTACCCAACCACCTGGGCACGAGCATTCGGCCTGATCGCGGTCGAGGCTGCATATATGTGCGCCATTTGTCCTCTGTCATTTTGCTGAGATAACTTAATCCTGTGCGCGCAAGCGGCAAACATTCTTGCGTCAGAGATCTTATCTGCGGGCTGCCGAACAGCAACCCACACGACTTGCAAAACCGAAGCTGTATACCGGTATGCTACATTTTGTGGCGGGGAATATGTGTTGTCCTCCCCCAAACTTGAATGCCCTGACCCACCAGCGATGTTCAAAACACGGCATATTGAGGGATTCATTCTACACACACAAGCACACGTGCTATCCAATAGCATGGTCCGCTGAGCTTGAGACGCGTTCCCATAGCAACGCTGGCAACTTATTCCACTAGTGTACAACACGTGGGCAGAGAGAGAAAACAACCACGGCAACATCAGGAGGGGCAGGTCGCGACTGTGTTATTCGTACAAGACAGGCTGTGTGTTCGGCCTCGTGAATACGTGACCTGGATGCCGCACCGACCCTCGCCTCCAACGATGCCTTCGCTGCTTAGTCGTGTGCAACCGCACTGCCTGTCGCCAACCACTGGGGACGAGCCATATCACACGTTCTGGCTGTTGCGCAGCTTGGAGATGTGATGAGGTTTGAAGGATAGTCAAAACGAAAGATCGCAAGTGCTCTGCAACTTGCCTCGAGGGGTCCAAAGACCGCGATTGTCTCCAAACAGCTTGCTAAGATGCTGAACGTGCCAGCCTGTCAAAACGAATTCGGTATCCGTCACATACACCACCGAACCCACATATAGTTCCATGGCTGAAATCCGCCGGCCCTGTCGGCGTGTGTGAATGGCTTTTCCGTTTGAATCGTCCTCGTCGTCCTCGTCCTCGTCGTCGTCCTCGTCGTCGTCGTCGTTGTCGCCGCAACCGCTCCCCCTTGTCCCTGTCCGTACGCCCCCCTAGTAAAACGTTCCAGAGAAATCGAGCAACATCGAACTCGAGACGACAGGAAGCCCCTTCCCCTTGATCCCTCCGCCGCCCGTGGGGGCAGTGGGGGTCCTTTGGGGTTGGCCAGGGGGGGTCCAATCGGGGATAGGGCGGGGTCCGGGGGTGTGACCCCCTCCCCGTGGGGGAGCACCCCTCCCTGGGAGAAGCTTTCCCTTTCGATTCCCTCAGTGTCGGCGGCGCTGGCCGCGAAAGCTTCACAATATGGGCGAGGGGCTCTCCCCTCGGGGCTGTTTGGGCTCTTCCAGGGAAAGGCCCTCGAAGGCCGAGGAAACCCAGCACGGATCATAGCTCTCAAGAACCGCGTCGCCTACACCTGCCCCCTTAAAACGGGGATCCTTACAGTCGGGGCCCTCGTGCGCGTCCCCAACGATCAGAAGCGGAGCAGGAAGGGGGGAGGAACGAAGAGGGATGAAGAAGGGGTGGAGGAAGACAGAAAAGGAGGATGAGGATGAGGAGAAGGATGACGAGGAGAAGGAGGAGGAGAGGAGGAGGAGGAGGAGAACGAGGATGAGGAGGGATGAGGAGAAGGGCGGGGACGAATCGAGCAAGATTCTGATTCTAATCGCACTGCGGTATACTGCACTTGCATCGTACAACCTACACGGCGCACGACGAGGTTCGTCGACGAAGCGCGGACGGTCTCGTCGATGGGGGGAGACCTAGTTGTGGAAGGGGGAATGACGAGAAGGGAGAAGGGAGAAGCATGATGAGAGGGGAAAGGGGGAGGAAGGAACTCAGGAATGACGGAGGAGGGCACAGGAGGGAAAAAGCGTGTAGGAGGGGAAGAGCGTGTAGGAGGGAGGAGGGACAGAGGGAGGAGGGACAAAGGAGGGAGGAGCGTGCAGGAAGAAGGAGGGAGAAAGGGAGGCGGGAGGGAAGGAGGAGCGCACCAGCTGGAGCCGAGGGGCACACAGAGGGGTGGGGGGAACAGACCCTGGAGGGGCACCGTCGACCTGCAATCCGCGATACACTACCGGCAGGTCGGCGATGGGCCCCTGATGGAGAATCCGCCCGGCCTTGGGCGGGGTGGTGGGCTATCGGGCCTCCATCGGCGATCAGGAGGCACCATAACCATTCCTCTCCCTTGTGTCCCCCTCCTCCTCCTCCTCCTCCTCCTCCTCCTCCTCCTCCTTTCCCCCCCTCCTCCTCCTCCTCCTCCTCCTCCTCCTCCTCCTCCATAACCTCTATCGGCGATCCCTCGGGGGTCGACGCACGTTCTTCCCTGAACCATTCCCCCAAAACCTTACCCATGAGCACGAGGCGGGAGCCCCTTCAGCGGCAAGGTGCGGGCTCGTTCGCTCGTCGAACACCTCCATATCCTTGGCACCTCGCGCGTAAACCAACCGGTGATCTTGCGCTCGGCACTGGGCGCATCGCCCAGGCATGGCGCACTATGTGCTGAATTGCAAAAGGCAGTGAGAAACTGATATCTGTTGTTCCGGACGTTGTGCTCCAAACTCAATGTCCAGTCGCGACGGGGCCACTTCTGCGAACAGTGGCCCGCGTGGCGAAATTCGGCACCAGCAACCGGCAGGGCAACGGCAGACGAGGCTTCTCTAGGGGGAAAACAAACCTACCTCGCTTTTGACCACCCTCGCTTCCAAGAGATACCAAGCGATGCCAAACTACGGCCTGTACTGGTCAGGCCGCTTGACGAGGAGGCGTGGTATGATTTGGTTTTGCCTGGAAGCGAAAGCGGGGTAGGCAATTCACGGTCGAATTCTCTGCGGGCGTGGGCCGCCGATGGATGCAGCACCAGAAGCCCTCCGCACGCGCCGCGGTTGCCGGAGCCGCCGCGGGTACTGACGGTGCCACCCTTGCTCCTCCTCCTCCTCCTCCTCCTCCTCCTCCTCCTCCTCCTCCTCCTGCTCGAAACGGCCACCCCGGCTCGTCGCAAGAGCGAACTCCTGGCGGGAATGTGTTGGCCGTCCTTATCGGGTCGGGCGAAAGGGGGGGATAGCAAAGGGGGGGTTTGAGAATCAGCTCACGTAGCTGATTTCCCCGACGCCTCCCGGCGCCGGAGGCGGCCATGTATCAAGGAATGGGCCCCTCGGTAACCCGAAACCAGCTGCATGCAGCAAATTTCGTAACCCCCCCTTTCCTAATCCCCCCCTTTCGTCCGGCCCGACCTTAGCCTGCGCCCAATTGAGGAGCCTCCCGAATGGGGTCCGAGTAGTTGGGGTCGGAGGATCGCGCCGAATCGCAGATGCATCCACGATGCATTGGCGATGCATCGGCGATGTATCGGCGATGCACCGGCGACGCATCGCCGACGTCGGCGATGAATCGGCGGCGCCGACGTGGAGAAAATCGGGCTCGACATCGAGCCGCATCGCCGATGCATCGACGATACGGCGCGACCCTCCGACCCCATCTACTCCGACCCCATCCGGGAGGCCTAGACAACTGCAAGCAACCTGACTCGCGGACAACCTGCAGTCCACTCCGACCGTGCTCCGTCTCACCTCCTCGGATGGCCGGGGCCCTCCCCGGGCTCCGTGACCGTCACGAGGCGGAGGAGGAGGAGGAGGAGGAGGGAGAAGGGAGAAGGGAGAAGGGAGGAGGAGGAGGAGGAGGGAGAAGGGAGGAGGAGGAGGAGGAGGAGGAGCAGGAGGAGGGGGAGGAAGGTGGCCAGGCCAGCGCGGGCAGAGAGGGGGCTCGTGGCCCGGGGTGGCCGTCTGGCGGCCCGTGCTGCTGCTCCGCACTCCCACGCCCCACTCGCCCCGCCCTCTCCTGCTGGCACAAGCGGCGCACCCGAACGTCTCGAGTATCCGACCGACCGAGGAGGGGGAGGAGGAGGAGGAGGAGGAGGAGGAGGAGGAGGAGGAGGAGGAGGAGGGGGGGCGAGAACTCACGGGGGGCTGGCAGAGACACTGGCATGACAGAGTCGGGCCACAGAGGGAACGCAACCGTGGATCTCTGCTTCGCCGTCTTCGGGGGACCTGCCGGGCCCTCCACCCACTGGGGCCCCAAGGACGCGAGGAAGAGATTCACTATATTTTGGCTGGTCCTACGGATCGCTCCGGCATCTAGGAGCCGCCCCCAAATCGCGGAGACTGGGGTGGGGCCACGACGCAGGGGACAGCTGGAGAATGCAATCGAGGGATGGGAGATGTGGGGATCTCAGACAAACCTATATCCCATGGACCTTCTCGTCCAACTCCCTCCCGCCTCTAGAACCAGCTGCCGTCAACTTGGTGCAAAGGCCCCGAGGAGATCACAATAAAGGAAACCTGAGGCCCGAAGAGATCACAATAAAGGAAAACGGGCGGTGCGAGGGAGGCTGGCGTCCGCGGGCCTCTCGATGGCAACTGAAGACCTGCCGTGAGGACCCGGCCGTCAGCCACTCCGAATAGCTGATAACACCTGGCGGGGGACTCGATCCGTGTCGAAGGGATCGCTCAGCCACGCGCTACTACGACTGCTTGTTACCTGGTGCAGCTCTCGTCCCCTCCTCCTCCTCCTCCTCCTCCTCCTCCTCCTCCTCCTGCTCCTCATAATCTTCGCCCTGAGCATCGCGCCATTGTTTCTGCTCTTCCCCTTTCTTCATCCTTCCGCCCCAACCCTTGCTCTCCCAGCTGCTGCTCCTCCCGCACCCCCTCCTCCTCGTCACGACCTTCCAGGGATCCACTGCGTCCGCACGCCGTCATAGTTGCTCGACGATCTCGCCGTGGAGGGGTCCCAGGTTCCCTGCGTGGAGCGCCAGAGCAGTGGGAAAAGGGCGCTGCGACGCGACCGTCTCTGAAAAGCCGCTGGGCAGGCCGAGGCAGCAGTGTGTGCCGCCTCGGCCGCGAGGTCGCCTGCGGGCATCCTGATGGCGCAGTCGGCCCTGGCTCGCTCCGCGACGTCGTGTCTGCGCCCCAGGAGTCCACAGCTGGTCGACCGACCCCCTGGTCGATTATCTGCCCTCCCGGTCGACCCCTGCCTTCGGGCTCCTCCTGCCCACGAGCCACGGGGCTTGGGCTCCTCGACGGCAAACCGTGTCCGGGCGAGCCCGGGCCAACCGCCAAGCTCAATCACGCGCGGCACAGCAGGGGGCCGGCCACGCACGGAGCGGCAGCCGACGGCTCACGGGAGCAGACGCTCCCCAAATCCCCAAACCATCACGACTCCCCTGGCAGGAGTGGCTATCAAGCTGCTCCTTTTGCTCGCTTCTTCTCGTTGTCACGTTGACAAACTTTGAGCAAAGCTCGTAGAGTCGCCCTCCTTCTCGTCTTCATGATTGTCCTGCTCCTCCTCCTCCTCCTCCTCCTCCTCCTCCCCCTCCTTCTGAAAACTTCCCCCTCCTCTTCCTCCTGCTTCTTCTCCTCCCCATCCCTTTCTTATCTGTCGGCCGCTGCTGCTGCTCCGCCTCCTCATCCCGATCCTCGAGCTGCTCCTCATCCTGCCTTTGCCCGAAAAATCGTGCGCACTGCCTGGGGACAACATGATCGGCTCACGAACCCGGAAAAGAATATAGAAACGTATGGCATGGCAACGTTTTCAATACACCTGATTGGGCGACGGGCAAATGCAACGCTGAATGTATCGCGCTTGATGTCCCGTGCCGTGCCAAGGGGAATCGCCACGAAACGCGCGACGGAACGTGCCAAGGAACGTTCCAAAATGCAATGCTGAGTGTATCGATCTTTATGTACCGTGCCGAGGGCTGTGCTGTGCTGAATTGCGATGTGCAATTCCGCGATTGTACTCTATAACGGTGTGGATCGAGTCATCCTTTGCATCCGAGTCCTGACCGAACTGATCTTGATCTTAAGCTCGAGCTGCCTGAGCACATTGTAGCTGCCCCAGAGCTAATTGACAGGGGGACATGCCAAGGGGGACGCGCCGCGGAACGTTCCAAGGGACGCGCCAGGGGACGTGCCAGGGGACGTGCCATGGGGACGCACCGCAGGCCATGCCAAGGGGACGCACTACGGAACGTGCCAGTGGACGTGCCACGGGACGTGCTAGGGGACGCGCCGCGCGACGTGCAAGGGGGACTCGCCATGAAACGCGTGGCGGAACGTGCCAGGGACCGTGCCAGGACCACGGTCCCTTGTAAACTACGCTGCGTCCACGCTCCCGGGGATGCGCTCCCTCGTGAACTACGCTGCGTCCGCGCTCCCAGGGCCACGTTCCTTTGTCAATTACGCTGCGTTCGGACTCCCAGAACCACGTGGGCATCTTGGGGCGCCCAGGCCGCTCGAGTTCTGCAGAACAAGCGTTTCGCTCGAGACATCCTCGAAGCGTCTCGCTCGAGACATCCACAAGACCTGGGCACGTGAAAACAAGCATTTCACCTGAGACATCCTCTGAGTTCTGGTCCCCCTGGGAGGAACGATCTTATAGAACCAAACACTTGTTTCGCTCGAGACACCCTCAACACATGACGCAAAACAAGCGTTTCGCGAAGGACATCCTCAAAATTCAAATCCGCCGGCCCTACGCGACTTCGCAACTTATCGCAAATAACTCCGCTGGCCCTGCGCCCGGCGACTCCGGGGGGAAACTCACAAAAGAGCACCCTGGGCCCTCGCCGCTTCCGGGAGAAAAGCTCAGCCGTGATCTCTTGCGACGCGTGGAGCTTGCCGCCGCTCTCGGACGCCCATTCTTTGGGCCTTGTCTTCGGCTTCGTGCGTGAGCTTTTGTCGCTCGATGATGCAGAATGCTCCTTGATGGTCCGCGCCGAGAATCGGGCCAGGCGAAAGGGGGGGATCGCAAAGGGGGGGGTGAGCATCAGCTCACGTAGCTGATTTTCCCAGCGCCTCCCGGCGCCGGGAGGCGCTCATGCATCGAGGAATGGGCCCGGCGGCGGGGCCGAAACCAGCTGCATGCAGCAGATTTCGTACCCCCGCTTTCCCTATCCCCCCTTTCGTTCGGCCCGAAATTGGAACAAGCGCATGACGCAAACACTCTGCTAGGAGGCAACTACTGGGAGGTTTTCGTCGGAAAGATTAAGGAGGATTCAGCCCTATTTGGGAGCTTATTACGCCACAAAGGGTCTCGGATTAGGCGGGATTAAGCGGGACTAAGCCGGATTAAGCGGGATTACGCGGGATTCCCTATCCCCCCCGCTTCGTCCGGCCCGAGAGAAAACATGCACACGTCCGAGAGCTGCCGAGGAAACTCTGGCGCTCGGCGTCATGCCCGGGGTCTTCGCCGCCCGCTCGGGACGGGTCGGGCACCTCCACAGGCGCACTCGACGAGGCGCTGCCGCCGCTGCAGGGCCTCCCTGGGGAAGAGAACTTGCGGTGAAGCCGGGCGTGTCCCCACACAGGGGGATTTTCGACGAAAAATAAAGCACGATCGACCCACGAGCCCGGTAAGGAATCTAGACATGTAAGGCATGGCAACGTTTCAAAGAGACCTGATTGGGCGACGGGCAAACGCAATGCTGACCGTGGGCTGTGCTGTGCTGCACCGTGCTGCACCGTGCTGCACCGTGCTGCACCGTGCTGCGCCGTGCTGAATTGCGATGTGCCATGCCGCGATTGTGTTCTATTGGTTTGTGGATCGAGTCCCCCTTTGCATCCGAGTCCTGACCGAACTGATCTGGATCTTAAGCTCGAGCTGCCAGGCGACGTGCCACGGGATGTGTCACAAAGACGCACCGCGGGACGTGCCAAGGGGACGCGCTGCGGAACGTGCCAATGGACGTGCCACGGGACGTGCCAGGGGGCGCGCCGCGCGACGTGCCAGGGGGGCCAGGTTGCAATGCTGAGTGTATCGATCTTGATGTACCGTGCCGAAATCTGTACTGTGCTGCGCCGTGCTGAATTGCGATGTGCCATGCCGCGATTGTGCTCTATAGCGTTGTGGATCGAGTCCTCCTTTGCATCCGAGTCCTGACCGAACTGATCTGGATCTTAAGCTTGAGCTGCCTGAACACATAGTAGCTGTCCCAGAGCTAATTAACAGGGGGACATGCCAGGAGGACGCTCCGCGGCACGTCTCAAGGGACGCGCCAAGCGACGTGCCACGGGACGTGCCATGGGGACGCACCGCGGGACGTGCCAAGGGGGCGCGCTACGGAACGTGCTGGGGACAAGCGTTTCGCTCGAGACATCATGTTAAAATCCTCATGCTAGACATCCGCCTGAGCGACCTGGATACGTGAAAACAAGCGTTTCGCTAGACATCCGCCTGGGCGACCTGTATACGTGAAAGCAAACGTCTCGCTCGAGATATCCTCAACACGTCTTCATCATCTCTCGAGACATTCTCAACACATCCTCATGCTAGGCATCCTCCTGGGCAAGCTGGACACGTGCAAACAAGCATCTCGATCGAGACTTCGTCAACACATCCTGATGCTAGACATCCGCCTGGGCGACGAAGACGCGCGAAACCAAGCGTCTCGCTCAAGACATCCTCAACAAATCCTGGCGCTAGACCTTTGCCTGGGCAACCTGGAGGCGTGAAACCAAGCGTCTCGCTCGAGAAATCCTGAAGACCTGGGCACGTGAAAACAAGCATTGAACTTCAGAGATCCTCTGAATTCTGGTCCCCAGGAGAGGACAACCTATAACACAAAACAAGCGTTTCGCTCGAGACATCCTCAACAATTTCTGAAAGACAAGCGTTTCGCTAAGGACTTCCTCAAATTTTAATTCGCCGGCCTTACGTGGACCTTGATATTTATCGCAAAAGAAATTCGCCGGCCCTACAGCCGTCAGATCCGGGGGCAAACCCCTAAAAGAGAACCCTGGGCCTCAGCCCTTTCTGGGAAAAATAAACAAAATGATCCAAACTGGTCAAAAAAATAGTCCCCCGACTATTTTCTGACTATTTTTGAAAATCTCCCTGTAGAGGGACAGGCCCGACTGAAACCTACGACCCCTCGTGCAATTCCCACACCCCTTTCCCTGTCCTTATGTTGCTCCCATCGTACTTAAGAACCACATCCCAGAAATAATCTCGAGCACCAGAAAAAATGTCGAAACTGTGCCGAAACAGCGTCGAAACAGTGTCGGACGAGTGTCTCCCAGGGCCCGGCACGTGGAAGCCCTCGAGTTTCGGTAATTGCTTGGTGCTCGAAATTCTTTCTGGTGGTCAAGGCTAAATTAGGTTGGAGCATCATAGCCCTCCCCCCTTTTCTCCCCTCGCGGGCGGGCAGGATGTCCCTGCCCACGTCCTTGCGGGCTGGGCCCCTGGGCCGCGGCCCCATGGACACACGGGGCGTCTTTTGTGTCCGGAGTGCCCTGGTGGTGGTTATGATGGTATGTGGTGATGGTGGTGACTACGATGGTGTGCGCTGATGATGACGTTCGTGATGATGATAAGGATGAACATGTTAAGGATCATGATGATGACGACGATGATGATGCTGCTGATGGTGATGATGATGCTGGTGATGATGATGGTGATGATGGTGACGATGCGTATGAGTATGAGTATAAGTGTGGTGATGGCAATGATGATGGTGAGGGTGGTGGTCATGGTAATGGTGGTGATGCCGATGCCGATGCCGATGCTGATGCTAATGATGATGCCGATGATGACGACGATGGTGATGACGGTGCTGATGATGACGATCATGACGATGACGATGACGATGATGATGATGATGATGATGATGATGATGATGATGATGGTGTTGATGAAATTGAAGATGAATATGCTGACGCTGATTATGATGATGATAACGATGATGATGGTGATGATGATGCTGATGCTGATGCTGATGATGACGGTGATGCTGATGCTGATGCTGATGCTGATGCTGATGCTGATGATGTGCTTCTCCTGGTGATGATGGTGATGATGGTGATGATGATGATGATGATGCTTATGCGGATGATGATGACGATGTTACGCGGATGCTGTCCAAGATCGCGCCCCGGAAATCAGACCGCGAGGGCGTGGATTTTGTCAAGGCTCGGACGCCGAGCCCTCGTACACTCTTCGGCCCTGCGCGCGCACGTTGACGACACGACGGTCCGAGATGCTCCGGCTGCTCCGGCGCTGGCCTCGCCGAATAAAAACATATTGAAGGAGCCCTGAGATACACAAATAAATACACACAAATAAAACGATTCCCTACATTTTCCATATTTCCTGGGTTTTTGTCTTCCCCCCCACTTCCCATATTTTCCCATATTTTCTGGGGGGTCGACGATTCATTGTGTCTGCGTGCTTTTCCCCCTCCTGAAATACCCGTCGGTCGGAAGAAGCGGGTACAGTCGAAATCTATAGTTCGGCGGTGGACCAACCTCCCTTTAGTCAACCATTGTAGTGAAAACGGCCTTGGGCCGAAACTGACGGACCTGGACCCGCAATAATGACGGCCGCGACGCCCTCTGGCGGACCGAAAACAGCAGATTCGCTCATCGACATGTCAGGGTAGGAGGCCGATCAACCTCGGAATCGTGCGAACGGACGGTGAGGACGCGAGGGCCTTGGACGCCGAAATGGGTACTCCAGATTTCGTAATAAAAGGGAGGGGGTCTGGACCCTCCAAGACAAGCCATTTCAGACCTCCCCCGTGGGAGAACCCTCCAAAACTTCGTCCCCAGACCCCCCAGGCCCTCCAAGATAGCCTGGAAGAGACCCCCCCCCGAAATGAGACCCCCCTCCCTTTATTACGAAATCTGGAGTACTTTTTGGGCGGCGGACTGCCACCACCCTGAAGGGCTGGCCAGTGGAAGCCGCGAAGGGCGGGCCGCAGACGCGGGGACGCAAGGGCACCCTGGGGACATCCGTGCGTCCTTCCTGTGCGTTGTGATGGCAGAGACTCAAGGGGCCCAAGGACACACGCATAAATACACACAAATAACATGATTCCCACTATTGTATCATTTCTCCTGGGTTTTGCCTTCCCGCCCAATTCCCATATTTTCCCATATTTTCCTGGGGGTCGACGATTAATTGTGTCTGTGTTTTCTCCCCTCCTGAGAAACATGCAGCAGGAATGCGAGGAAAGCAGGCTGGGCTTCCCCGCCCGCCCCCTGGGAGAGGGGAGGGAAGCAGGGGGCGCCACTCGACTCTCGAAGTCTGACGGGCGCCCCACATAGAGCGGGACCTGGGCATCCAAGCGTGCCTGCCCTCAGCGACCGACAAGCGCGAAGGTGTTACAGTCAAAACGTGTATCAAGGACGGGTGACAAGGACGCAAGACCCTTGGAGGCCGAAGTTGGGTCTGTTAGGGCGGCGGGCGACCAGTGATAATGGCAAGGACGGGCTTCGAAGGCAAGGACACAAGGGTACCCTAGATGAAGGCGCGCGTCCTTACTAGGCGCGTTGACTGTAGTCGCTCGTGCTCCCCGCGGCCTTCCCCGCTGGCCGGCTGCCTCCCCGCGAGCAGACGCACGGCCCCCGACCTCGGTGCCTGCTCCGTGGGAGCCTGCGTGGCTCCGGGAGGTGTCCGATGCGGGCCCGGTTTGGACCGCGTCTGGGAGCACATTTGGGACCGGATTTGGACCGGACTGGGACCATATTCGCCCCTCATAAGGAAGACGAGAACAATGAGGAGGGGCAGGAGGGGCAAGGCGGAGCAGGAGAAAGGGCCAACTGCGGTCCAGATGCGGTCTGGGTGCTGGAAAGGCTGATCCCAGTGTCGCTCCTCAAGGCCCACATGAACAGACATCGAACCCGATCCTTCGGATGGGCTTATTTTCCACCACCACCACCACAAGCTGGAGGGGAGGATGAGGAGGAGGAGGAGGAGGAGGAGGAGGAGGAGGAGGAGGAGGAGGAGGAGGAGGAGGAGGAGAAAGAGGTGGAGGAGGAGGAGGAGGAGGAAAAGGAGGAGGAGAAGGACCCGCTCACCCCCCCCCACTTCTGGTGGTGGTGGAAAAAACAAGCCCATCGCCCCCGGCAGCCCCCGGCTAGGCCCCGGCGCCCCGCCCTCCGAGCGAGAGGCCTGTGCGCGAGGTGTCGAGGCTCGCCAGCAGGCTCGCGGTCTGGGCGGCGCGCCGGGGGCCCCCCTGCGCCGACAGCCGCCTCCCCGGCGCCGCCTCCCCCCCTCGTCCGGGTGTGCCTGGTGTGGGACGCACGGGGGCACACTATTCTCGAGCGCGAAAGACACGCGTACCCTTACCTAGACAGGGTGAGAAGGGTCCGGGGGGGCGGTTCGTCACAGCTGGCGGCGGCTGCACAAATGTAGAAGCGACGGCCGATCGAGCATTGCAGACCGCTGTCTTCTCGAGGCGCACGTTAGCACCGATCGCGCGTGCGCTCGATTCGGCGGAGTGGCCGGCCCCGCGTTGGTTGCTGTAGATGTAGACCAGCTGCATAGGAGGCGCGCCCCCAGAGACACATATCCTGGCGTCGGGGAATCAACGCGCACTCGGGGGTGCATGCGAACAACTCTGGCGCGAACGTCACAGCGCGACAACCGCCCAATCGCGAATTGATCGATGCAGAGACATCGAGGCTTTGAGCGCTGGGCGAGGTCGCCAGAGGCCGCCCTCCTTGGACGGCCGTCCGCGGATCACCCCAGCTAGGTACGGTTGCCCCCAGAAAACTCAAAAACATACCCGTACCTAGCCGGGGTGTCGCAGCTCCATCCCAGCTAGGTCCGGGTATGTTTCGGTGGTTTCAGGCAGGTCCCCGTACCTAGCCGAGGTGGCGGCAGGCCCAAAACGCGCTCGAGCACTTCAGATGCCCTCCAGAACCGTCCCCAACGTGGCCGCTGCGGCCCCCTGGGGGCGCGACGTTGTAAAGTCGTTCCTCAGGGCATGCCCACACGCATTGGTCGCCAGGACGATGGCGATGAAACGCATCTTGTTATACATTGGGACAGGCGCCACCACATATGGGCGGCTTTGAGCCGCGCACGCACCACGATGCCCCGAGACGTCCCTAACAAAAACCAGCGCTTGTCGCTGCAATCAGACACCCAACCATCGAGCGCGCCGTTGCGTCTTGACGCGCGGATGGTGCACTGGCGCGCGCGGGGCAAGCTGACCGGGCACAATAGCAAACGCCCAATCCCCCGGACGGCCCATCTCACTCTGGCTGGCCCCGGGTACGGGTATCTTTCGGACCAATGAACTATAGTGCGAGATGTCTTCCTCGGAGGCGCGTGCCCGCCCGGACATGTAGTATATAGATCCATCTTGTAGTAGATAGTGCCGCCTCCCCCCCTCCGGATGTGCACAGTGTGGGACGCACGGAGACACACTACAGGGCAGTTGTTACTACATGGGACTTCTAAACATACATGATGTTATGATACATGATGGAATTATGCATAAATTTGCGCACGAGCTCATCGTTGTTTTTAATACTACGTCCCTGCGTTTTTTAATACATGATCCGCACGCGGAGCATTTTTTGTGTTTTTTTTGTTTTTAAGATATATTTTTTTTTTTTTTTTTTTTTTTAAAAAAAAAAAAAAAAAAAAAAAAAAAAAAAAAAAAAAAAAAAAAACACCGTAGTGCGAGATGTCTTCCTCGGAGGCCCGCGCCCGCCCGAACATGTCGTATATGTCCATCTTGGAGTACCTCGTTTCCCCAGCGGCGTGGCCAGAAAGCGCCCGCCCGCCACGACGCATACACTGAAAGATTTCTCGGTGCGCGCGTCGCCACTGGGGGGGGCGACGCACATACAGTATAAGTATGTTGGGGCGACGTCTCTCACTCTCGTGTCTTCTCGTCGCTTCTCGTCTCTTCTCTCCTGTCATCTTCTCGTCTCTTCTCTTCTCGTCTCCCCGCTTCGCTTCTCCTCCGTTCCCTCACGCCGTCGTATCCGCCACCGTGCCCCCTTGGCACGTCGGGGCGTGCTCGAAAGTCAACTGCTGCCTGGCAGGCTTCCTGCAATCTTCTAGGGCCCCCCCCCCCCTCTCTCGCCACGCTGCGCTGCATGCGTCGCCCCCCCCCCTCTCTCTCGAGGCCGCACTCCCTGGCAATGCGCAGCAGCTTCGCACCCGCGAGGCCACAGTCGGCTGCAAAATGCCACAGGGCGGCGCAACCCGCGCGCGCACCGCAGCCTGGCCGGGCCCAGCCGGTGCGAACATCGCAGCCGGGTTGGGCAGGGGCGCCGCCCGGCCTCAGGGCTGGCCAGGCAGGGGCGCCCAGCTGCAGAGGCAGCGGGGCAGGCGGCCCGGCGAGAGCTGGGGGAGGGGGAGGGGGAGGGGGAGGGGGAGGAGGAGGAGGAGGAGGAGGAGGAGGAGGAGGAGGGAGGAGGAGGAGGAGGAGGAGGAGGAGGAGGAGGAGGGGGAGGAGGAGGAGGAGGAGGAGGAGGAGGAGGAGGAGGAGGAGGAGGAGGAGGAGGAGGAGGAGGGGGAGGGGGAGGGGAGGGGGAGGGGGAGGGGGAGGGGGAGGAGGAGGGGGAGGGGAGGGGAGGGGGAGGGGGAGGGGGAGGAGGAGGGGGAGGAGGGGGAGGGGGAGGAGGAGGGGAGGAGGAGGAGGAGGAGGAGGAGAGGAGGGGGAGGGGGGGGAGGGGAGGGGGAGGGGGAGGGGGAGGGGGAGGGGGAGGGCCGCCCATCGCGCCACCCGCGGGCAGTGCGCAGGGCAGCGGCGGCGCGCGCCGCACGGCGGACTGGCACCTGCGCGAAGCGCAGGACCGCCCCAAGGAGGAGGAGGAGGAGGAGGAGGAGGAGGAGGAGGAGGAGGAGGAGGAGGAGGAGGAGGAGGAGGAGGAGGAGGAGGAGGAGGAGGAGGAGGAGGAGGAGGAGGAGGGGGGTTGCTCGGGGCCAGAGGAGAGCCAGGCGACGACGTCATCCAGGGCGGCCCGCCTGCCATCCCAGGGCAAGGCCTCGGGAATCCTCCCGGCAGGCACGGCGCCGCTCTGGCCTCGTCCGCCTGCAGCTCCAGCACCGAGGCCAGCTGGGAGGCGCTCAGCTCCCCGGCGTTGTCGCGGTCCGCGGAGAAGAACGCCTCCTGGAGGCGAGGGCGCACAGTGGAAGCATGACCGCTTCAAGCGTGGGCAAGACCAGTACCCCCGATTGACGAATGTACAAGGCCCGAGGGAGATAACCCCGACACGGGGAACATTTCACGGTGGAAGGCCCGAGCACGAAGAACTTGACTGTGCCCTTCCAGAGCTAGGCTGGTTCTTGACCGTCGCGTCAGCTGTTGACTTCCTACCAGGACCACCCCAACCCAATCCGATGACCCGACTTTCGGGTTTTGGGGGGGTACGGGTTCCATATGTGTTATTCAATGATTCCCCAGACCCCCCCCCCACTGGAAATGGAGGGCAACTTGAGGCCTTCGGATTCGGTTGGGGTGTTTTGGTGGGTGGGGAGTATCGCAGCATCAATGATAATCCTTGGGTTGACGATGGCGCTCTCCGAGGAGGGAGATGGACGAGAAGGACCCAGACCTCCGACACCGAACTTTTGCCACAAACTTCCGCAAGTCCCGACCCCTATTCCAGTCCCGACAAACTTTTCATCTTCAGTCGCCTTCTTGATGGTCATGGGGCGCGGCAAGGGTCCAAGGGGGCGGAAAACGAAAGATCATCGTGCGCCGCAGAGAGGCAATCGGAGGATGGATGGTGAGAGAGGCTGTAGGACAGTATGGAGGAAGGAGGAGGGCGGATGGGGGAGGAGGAGGGAGCAGGGAGGATAATGAGTTGGCGTTGAAGGAGCAGAAGGAGCAGGAGACGGAGGAGAGCATCAGGAGAGGACAATCAGGAGGCGGAGGAGGAGGAGAAGCAGCGGTGGGAGGGAGGCGGGAGAAGAATAAGGCGGAGGACGAGGAGGATGAGGAGGATGAGGAGGAGGAGGAGGAGGAGGAGGAGGAGGAGGAGGAGGAGGAGGAGGAGGAGGAGGAGGAGGAGGAGAGGGAAGAGGAGGAGGAGGAGAAGGAGGAGGAGGAGGAGGAGGAGGAGGAGGAGGAGGAGGAGGAGAGGGAGGAGGAGGAGAACGGATGGAGGAGAGAGGACGGAGGAGGGGGAGGAGGAGGAGGAGGAGGAGGAGGAGGAAGAAGAGGATGAGGAGGAGGAGGAGGAGAGACGTGTTAGAGTTGGAGGCAGAGGGGGGGAGAGAAGGGGAAGGGGGAAGGAGCAGGGAGAATGGAGGGAGGAGGAGGGAGCAGAAACGGACGAGGGAGGAACGAGGGGGGGGAGGCAAGAAGATCAGGAGGAAGGAACAATAGGTGGAGGAAGAGCCGAAACCGGAGATGATGAGACAGGACCAGGAGGAGGATCAGGAGAAGTCTCACGTGGATCGTCAATCGTTAACACCTCCATCATCCTCTCCCCCCCCCCAGACCAGGTGGTCGCCTTCCCCATGCCTCAGCGGGCCTTTACACTACTCCTGTTCTTTCCCGCTGTGCCTAAAGGGAAATTAGGACACACAAATAAATACACACAAATAAAAATATTCCCCATATTTTCCCATATTTTCTGCGTTTTTGTCTTCCCCCCCACTTCCCATATTTTTGCATATTTTCCTGGGAGTCGACGATTAATTGTGTCTGTGTGTTTCTTTTCCCCCTGAGTGCCTGTCCTTTTCCCGCTGCGCCCACCTGGGTCGACCGTGAAGGCCACCGCGCCTACGTCGCTTCCGCCCGCTTCCTCACACCATCGGAACGCTGCGAACCCCGATGCTCCGAGCCCCCCCCGTCGGGGAAGGGAAAGGGAAGGGGCTTCCTCAATTACGACGTTGCTCAAGGTCGGTACGGGGGGGGGGCGGTACGGGGGGCCGTCGTATCTGACCCGGGACCCCCCCCGGGACCCCCCCTCCCCCTCCCGTCGGGGAAGGGAAAGGGAAGGGGCTTCTGGCCGCACCCGTCTCCACCAACCGGCAGGGCCACCTCCAAGACCGCGGGCCGCCCCCCCACCCAGCTCGGCCGAAGCTCAGCCTTTTTCGCGAGGCCCCTGCAGGATCTGGCATCCTGCCTGAGCTCCGCAGTCCCGTTGGCGCTGACTCCCGGCACGCGCGCCCCGAAAGGAGAAGGAAACACAACCACATGAGCATACACTTTTGGCGGTCCGCGCGGATTTCTTGGATCCGCGCTGGACCGGGCGGCGCCGGAGGCGCCGCCGGGGGGGCACGGGCGCGGATCCAAGGAATCCGCGCGCAACGCCAAATGTTTATGCTTATGTGGTTTTGTCTAAAACGACGCGAAGATCGGGACAAAATAGGATCGGGATAACTCGAAATCTCTGAGAATCGGCGAGTTTAAAGGATGTATTGGGCGCCGCGGCCGCTCCAGAGCGTTCCGGAACGCTCTGAGAGCGCTCCGGAACGCTCTGGAGCGATTTATGCCGATCCTGGCCCGTCTTATTGTCTTCTTCGACCCGGGCCAAAAGAGCACGCTCGCGCCCAGCCCTCCTGCAGCACCGCCACCTCCGGGCTGTTGGGGTGGGCGAAGGCCAGCACGCTGGCGCGGGCCGCGCACTGCAGCCGGTTGCGCCGGCCGAAGGCCCGCAGCCTGCGGGGCAAGGAGGGCGAGGGCTAACTTTTTCGGTCGGGCGTGTCCCCCTACAGGCAGATTCTGGACGAGAAAAAAAAAAATGACCCCAAAAATGCTCAAAGATAGTCAAACGCAGTCCTCCTCGGGTCCGCCTCCCCAGGTGGGGAGGAGTCCCAGGGGGGGGGAGGGGAGGCAGATACGCATCCGTCCCAGCTGGGGATCCTCCTCCTCCTCCTCCTCCTCCTCCTCCTCCCCTTCCCTCTCCCACGTCGGTCCGCCTCCAGTCCGCCTTCCCAGGGGGAAGGTCCCAGGGGGGAGTCCTTTCCCTCCTCCTTCTCCTCCTCCTCCTCCTCCTCCTCCTCCTCCTTAGCTCCGCCTCCTCCATCCCTTTCCTCCTCCTCTTCCTGCTCCTCCTCCTACCCCTCCTGGTCGTCGTCGATGTCATCCAGGGTCGGCGGCACCGGCCGTCAGTCCTTCACAATTATCTCGGGTGGCTGTCTGGAACCTCGCGCCACATCGCCGGTGCATCGCGATATCTCCCTCGGCGACTCACCAGCGATGCATCGTCGACGTCCGTGATGAATGTACCGGCGACGTCGACGTGGAGCAAGTCGGGCCTTACATTGAGCCGCATTGGCGGTACTTCGACGATACGGCGCGATCCTTCGAGCCCATCTGTCCAGACCCCATCTATGAAGCCTAGACTTAAGTCGGGCCTGTCCCTCTACAGGGGGAATATTCAAAAATGGTCAAAACATAGTCTGTGGACGAATTGGTTTCGCATTTTTGTGAACAATGTTTGGATCTTTGTTGACTTTGTTGACTATGTTTCATTTTTCTTTGTCCAAAACCCACCTGTAGGGGGACATGCCCGACCTAAGCGTAGAGTTAGGTCGGGCCTGTCCCCCTACAGGCGGTTTTTTTTACCAAAAAAATAAACGATTCACTGCGTGGAGCTCCCTTTATGAGCATCTATTCGCATGTACTGGGTGTGAGTGAGTCTGAGTATGAGTATGATGAGTACGAGTCCGAGCACAAGTGAGTCTGGGACATCCTCGCAATCTGCCCCACAGTGGGGTGCGAAAGCCAGTGAGTCTAAGTATGAATATAGTGAGTACGAGTACAAGTCTGAATAGGTCTGAGTACGAGTGAGTTTGACTACGAGTGAATCTGAGGGTGGGTGGGTCTGAGTGTGAGTGATTCTGAGCGTGAGAAGATCTGAACATGAGTGCGTCCGAGTATGAGTATGATAGATATGAAACTGGCCCTGAGTGGGTCTGAGAACGAGTGAGTCTGACTACGAATGAGTCTGAAGGTGGGTGGGTCTAACTGTGAGTGAGTCTGAGTCTGCGTAAGTCTGGGTGTGAGTGAATCTGAATATGAGTATGATGAGTGCGAGTCTGAGTATGAGTGAGCCTGAGCACGAGTGAGTTTGAGCACAAGTGAGTCTAGGACATCCTGGCAACCTGGGCCCCTTTGGGAGTGCGGAAATCAGCGCCTCGCCATAGACATCCTCAGAATCTGCTTTGACAGCAGACGAGTCTGACCACCAGACCACGCCAACCGCTGGAGACATCCTCGAAGTCTTGCCCCCCTGGGGTGCGAAAGCCAGCGCCTCGCCTGAGACATCCTCAGAATCTGCTCCGAAAGCGGAAGATGTTGAGGACCAAAACAGGCAAGCCGCCTGAAACATCCCCACCAGTTGGGCGCAAACGGAGGCCGTGCAATACCCCTGGCGGCCCCCCGTCAGGAGTGCGAAAACCAGCGCCTCGCCTGAGACATCCTGCTCCGAAAGCGGAAGATGTTGAGGACGAAAACAGGCAAACCGCCTGAGACATCCCCACCATTTGGGCGCGAACGGAGGCCGTGCAATACCCCTGGCGGCCCCCCTAGGAGTAATAAATCCAGCAAGCCCCTCGAGAAATCCACCATCATCTGCTTATCATCTGCTTATCATCATCATCATCATCATCATCATCATCATCATCATCATCATCATCATCATCATCATCGATATCGTCATCATCAGCATCAGCATCATCACCATCATAACCATCATACTCACCCATCCGTCACCATCACCATCTCACATCATACTCTCACAAAACCATGGTCATCATCATGACAACCATCCTCATCGTCTGGTGCAGAGAGGGAGGAGAGGAGGTGTTCTCTTGGCCCGGCGCGGTCGGAGAATAACAAGAACCCCATCCTTTGGATACGGGGAACAATACTCAAACAATACCCCCAAATCATATTCAAATATAGTCAAAAACTCGTCCGCCGACTATTTTTTGACTATTTTTGAATTTTCCCCGTAGAAGGACACGCCCGACTAACACCCAAGCGAGAGAACCGGCACATGGGCGGGGGGGGGCCCCGCCCCCCCCAAGCGCATGATCGTTACTGCAGGCCGGGAGGGGTGGGCTGGGCATTCTCTTAGGGTGGAGGGCTCAGGGGGAAATCCAGATGGGTTTTTGTTGCACCTCGCAGAAAATCAGTCCGTCTTGTGATTCACGTTTTGCAGATTCAGGCCTCGAAGATCCATCGAAAGGGGCACTTCAAATTTCACCTTTTGCCATCCACCCAAAGACCATGCTCCGGGCGGAGGGTGGCGCGGGCAACGACCGCTGCGAGCCGGAGGATAGCAAAGCAATCTCCTGACAGTCTGACGGACGGACAGACTGACTGACTTACTGGCGCGCCCAAAGCCTGTCGGGATTCCCGAACTGGGTTAAGATCGCAGTAGATCCAAAAACTCACGCGTCTCTTCTCGGGCACCAGCCTCCTCTAACGAACACGCTTCTCCGGCCACAACATCTGGACGGTCGGAGGGGCACGGGTGGCCCGAGCGTCGAATGTTGTGGCCCACCCTGTCTGGTCCTACCTTGTTGCACGACCCGTTGACCTGGACGACCGAGGAGGAGACAACGTTCCCAAAAAGTGTGTATGGGGTTGAAGTACAAGAGTACAGAACCCCTGATCCGTTGGTAGAGAGATGGAGGGATAGATGGATATCTTTCCCTCCCAAGCGATCAAGGTACGATCGCTCCAACTCAGTACCTGAGCCCAAACGGCCAGGTGCGGGAGAGGTAAGGATAAGGAGTATATATGAGGGTATTACACGGGTTCCATACACAAAAAGGTCCGTCCGTCCACCGGCCTCGACCTCGGTCGACGCGAACGCATCGACGGAGGGAGAGTGGGCGCCATCTGGGCGGCGCTTGGGTTCATTTTCGGCCTCCCGAGGGGCGTCGCAACCCTTTGCCACTCCCGCCACCAGCAGGGCCCACAAAAAGATGGCGCTCGAACCGGACCAGACGTGAAATATTGGCCTCGCAGGCGAGGGCAAAAAAGAGGGTGGAAGGAGAGAGTCTGTCACAGGATGACAGGCCCCGCTCCCAGCAAGAGAGAGCCGAGAAACACAGGGCACAGCGGGAGAATCCTCGACCGCCACATGCCGACGCCACAGGATCCGCGGTCGATCCCCCCCCCCATCCCTCGTCCCGCACCCAGAGACACCCAACACCCACGGACTAGAGAGAAATACAGAAGACAGTGTCGATGAGAGCATCTCACCGCTCGAGTGCCAGCTCTGCAGCACCTCGAATATCGTATGCGCGCTCCAGAAGCATTGGAGTACTCTGAGCAAAGCCTTTCGCTTTGTGCTACATATGGAAAGCCATTGCAACCGCCTTAAGGCATTCTTCACGTGAAAATTCCGATCCCGCCCGCCCGTAGTCAGACGCCGCCCACAGTCCCAACAATACAATCGGAGAGCCTGGAAAACGGCGTCTTCTCCAGGCAGGGTGTATTGCTAGATGGTGCTACATTCTCGAGCAACGCAGGTAGTGTGCAATCTCGTCGGGGTCTGCGCAGCCCCAGATGCAGCTCGTGGGAGGGGTGCCTATGTGCAGACTGTGCGTGGTCGTCCACGCTCCGCAGACAGTCGTGATAACACTCCACTGCCAAGCAGGCTTGAGACTTGCGATGCAGGTCCGGCAGAGATCCCACCGACCAACCACCGACCTCCGCCCCCCAGGAATCGGGACCTGCTACTACCGAGGAGGAAGAGGAGGAGGAGGAGGAAGAGGAGGAGACGACTGCAAAAACACCTCGGAGGCGGAGGAGAAGAGAAGTGCAAGGATGACGACGATGGCGGGGATGCCGATGCGGCGACGAATCGGAATGCCCTGAGTCAGATGAGTGGCAACGCGGACGGGCGTCTCAATCGACGACTGGGCCTGTCCTGGAGCGCGCTCTAACACGATACTTCCTACCAAACACAACCTGTGGCGTCAAGGTTCCTCCATCCCCCTCATATTGCGCCCGCTCGCGGCCAAGATCAACGGGGGAAAACACAAAGAAGTATTAAGAAAAGACATAGGGAGAGGAAGAGAGAGAGAGAGAGAGAGTGTGAGAGCAACACAAAAAAGCGAGATATATAGAGACAGAGCACACAACAACAAAGATATATGTAGAGAGCGGCGAGCTAAGCGGACGGTCCCTGTCTCAACGAGCCTCCGCCACTCCGCTTCCCTGATGGCGAGGACACTGACTACCGTAAGAAATGCCACCAAGCGCTGCAAATGGGGGCGGCGGCGGCAACCGCTGGCCGAGAGCCTTTGGGACGAGGCGAACCCGGGTGGGACTCAATCGGTCCCTACGGATCCTCAGACGTCTGGACTCCTTTCCCTAGTCGGGCATTTGACAATCCCGTGGCCCGGCGACGGGGATATGTGTGGCAGGGGCGGATGTGACTCACAACCAACCCGCGCGCGCGGGCCCCTGCTTGCTCTCGAAAGCGAGCCTGACACGAAGTTTGCGCAGCTGCGGCAAGCGTCTAAACATCCGCAGGGCGGCTGCATACATACAGTAGGGTCCCGACCATAAGAAACCCTCCGTAAGAAACCCAAGCCTGAGACCCCAGGACGTCCATGGATTGTGGGTGCGGGAACGTCACGCCTTCCACAGGAACACCATCGATACCCAAGAGACCCAGGGCACCCTGGAGGCAAGCAGGGTGTCTCTTGGCAGGGGCCTCCACCGTTAAGCGGCAGGGGAAGCGGTGCTAATGACTCGGCCGCTGGCTCGCGTCTCTCCTGGGGAGGGCGCGCGGCGCGGCGCGGAGGACCACGGGGGCGTGCGCACGGGCCTCTGCAGCGCGAGGCCCAGCATCTCCTGCGAGCCCTGGGCCTTGCCGCGGCTCGGCCCGAGGAAACGGGGCCTCCTCCTCCTCCTCCTCCTCCTCCTGCTGCTCCTCCTCCTCCTCCTGCTGCTCCTCCTCCTCCTCCTCCTCCTCCTCCTCCTCCTCCTCCTCCTCCTCCTCCTCCTCCCCCCCCTTGTCAATCCTCAATCCCCCCCCATCCATCTTGCATCCCCCCCGCATCCCAAAATATAGCCTAGTAAACTATACAAAATTCGATCGCGTATTGTGAAAACGGGGTATCACATTGTATTGTTATACTACATCACGACATACTATAGTGTAGTATATCAAAATAGGGATGGTTTACTTCATCAGCAAGTCCTTAGCATATCAACTCATGTCATAGCATACGGTGTTCTATTAGGTGAGTACATACGTGTTTCATGTGTACAACATCATATACTAAACAACGACAACACTTAATGCTTAATAGCCAAACACTGATTACCTTCAAACATGTTAAAACAACTCATAATAGTGGATGTGCGATTACATCGAATATTAATCCAGTAAACGCGTGTCGGTGTGAATGCTGTATAGTATATTGGAGGTGAAGTCGATTATGCTTTGCTGTATGTTATACAAACTTGAAGTGCCACTTGTTATACCACATGGTACTCTACTACCTGATAGCATATACTAGTATACTACGTGGTCTTATCGTGCATTCCACACTTTACTATAGTACGGTGCTACGTTATAGTATAACGATGTACTATGATACTTACACATACACGCATGAACACACACAAATCCACCAAAGGGATACATTGAGAGCGAGAGAGAGCGAGAGAGAGAGAGAGAGAGACAGAGAGAGAAAGAGAGAGCGAGAGCGAGAGAGAGAGAGAGAGAGGGATAACGAGCGTGACGAACATGCTGGGGGAACGGAGCACTGGGCCAGGAACCGACGGGACGCCAGCGCGCACGGGGGCACCTGCAAGCAGGCCTGCCCAGAGTTCCTCAGCCACGGGTCGTTGAGCACCTCGCGGGGTGAGGGAGGGCACCGCCGACCGGCGCACGCGTCCGGTCCAGCAGTCCGCGGCGCGGAGGTGAGGCACACGAGCAGCGATCAGAGCCGGGCCGCTAGCGCGGCACGCCACATTGGAGACGAGGGCGCTCACGCGCGGCCTTACGCGGGGAGATTGCGCGCGAATGCCAGCGCAAACGACCCAGTTGTTTTGCGTCGCCCAAGTGGTTCCACCCGAATCTGCCACCAAGGTTGCGGAAATACACGGTGCTCCTCCGACAGGTTGTCGAGAGGCCTCCCAGGTAAGGAAGTCTCGTGTCGTGACGACCTCGGCGCTGGTTTTTCTGACACCGCGCGGTCCGATGAAGCCTGAACGGTCGGCGGAACTTGAGCGGCCTCGGCGGGGGCGCCGCCACGCCGACACAACACGCACCCACCGCAAGTAGGTGATGGATGCATCTTCGCTGCACCTCGTGCAGACGGAGTGGCCACATCATTGCTGAATCAACAAACGTGAAGCGAGTGAGAGGACAGGGGGACGACCCCTCTCGGATCAGCTCGAACCACACAGCCACGCCCATCTCACATGGGCTCCGCGACAGACTGAACAATCGGTGGTTCCCACCTGCTCGTGCTCCTGCTGATGTTGCCGCAACTGCTGCTCTCTTACTCCTCCAACTCCACCTTCTCCTCCTCCCGCCTCCTCCCGCTGTAGACCCGCTTGGAAACAGCAGGGGAGCATCGGGTACCTAGATCAAATCACTATTTATATTCAGAAATCTTCCAGGATCTCCTTGTCCCTCCCCCCTCCCTCGTTCCTCGTGCGTTGGAGCTCCAACCCGTGCGTGCCTGGACGCATTCCCCCCTGAGTCCGCGCGCAGCCGCGAGCCAATCATGCGTCGCAGTTGCGCCAGTATGCCAATCATCTGGGCGCGCCGCCTCGGCCGAACATATCCTCGATCACTGGCGTCTGGCATGTTCTTCAGAGTGAGGCTCGGCAGGGAAGTCAGACGTTCGTTCTGGGGTCCTTCCTGCAGCCACTGGCTCCACTCAAGCGTCGATGCAGCGTCGAACGTCTGTTGACCTGAGGTGAACTTGAGTCGACTTTGAGTCGACCTCCTCCTCCTCCTCCTTCTCCTCCTCCTTCCCCTCCTCCTCCTCCTCCTCCTCCTCCTCCTCCTCCTCCTCCTTGAGTCGAGCTAGAGACGAAGCTGAATCATATTGTTACGCCGATGCGTCAGCTGGCCCCCAGGAGGTTCCCCAGAACGAGCATCCAGGAGCGTCTTCGAGTGAAGCGGCGAGTGACGACGGCATAGGGACAGCGAGGGACATGACGAGAAGGGATGATGATGATGATGATGATGATGATGATGATGAAGATGATGATGATGATGATGATGATGCTGCTGCTGCTGATGATGATGATGATGATGATGATGATGTGATGATGATGATGATGATGATGATGAGGAGGAGGAGGAGGAGGAGGAGGAGGAGGAAGCGGGTGAGGAGGAAGATAAGGAGGAGGAGGAGGGAGGAGGAGGAGGGGAGGAGGAGGAGGAGGAGGAGGAGGAGGAGGAGGAGGAGGAGGTGGAGGAGGAGGAGGAGGAGGAGGGGAGAGGAGGGGGAGGAGGAGGAGGAGGAGGAGAAGGAAGAGCAGCATGCAGAACTCTACAACGACTGCAGGGGCGCCGAATTGTATGCATGCCTATACGACTACCCTTCGGGTGAGAAGCAGGTTGTGGGGGGGAGAGGGGGTGGGGAGAGGGTGGGGGGAACCAACATCTGACTCAATCGATCTCACCATCGATCTCACTCAACGGGACACCACGGGACACCACGGGACACCACGGAACACTTGTCGATCTCACTATCGATCTCACTCAACGGGACACCACGGGACACCACGTGCCACCACTGGACACCACGGGACACCACGGGACATCTCTCGATCTCACTATCGGTCTCGCTGTCGATCTCACTATCAATCTCACTCAACGGGACACCATAGGACAGCACGGGACACCACGGGACACCGCGGGATACCACATCGATCTCACTATCGATCTCACTATCGATCTAACTATCGATCTCACTCAACGGGACACCACGGGACACCTCGGGGCACCACATCGATCTCAATATCGATCTTACTATCGATCTCGCTCTCGATCTCACTCAACGGGACACCACGGGGGACACCACGGAACACTTGTCGATCTCACTATCGATCTCACTCAACGGGTCACCACGGGACACCTCGGGGCACCACATCGATCTCAGTATCGATCATACTATCAAGCTCGCTCTCGATCTCACTCAACGGGACACTACGGAACACCACGGGACACCATGGGACACCTGTCGATCTCACTATCGATCTCACTATCGATCTCACTGTTTGGGGCACCATGGGACACCTCGGAGCACCACATCGATCTCAGTATCGATCTCAGTATCGATCTGACTATCGATCTCACTCAACGGGACACCACGGGACACCACGGGAAACCGCGGGACAACACCGCGAGCCACCGCTGGACGGACGGACGGGGGGGAATCATTTGTCTTGACTTCGCCCTGGCAACGGCGGACACCACAGGACACCACCAGACATCACGGGACACCGCGGGCCACCGCCGGGCGGACTGACGGGCGGGGGAGAATCATTTGTCTTGACTTCGCCCGAACAACGGCGGACACCACGGGACACCACGGGACACCACGGGACGCCACGGGACACTGCGGGCCACCGCGGGCCACCGCCGGACGGACGGACGGACGGACAGGGGAGAATCATTTGTCTTGACTTCGCCCTAGCAGCGGCGGACACCACTGGACACCACGGGACACCGCGGGACACTGCTAGGGCCACCGCCGGACGGACTGACGGACGGGGGAGAATCATTTGCCTTGACTTCGCCCTAGCAACGGCGGGTTCATTCCTCTCGCGCGCCCACGCAGCTTCGCCTCGCCCGCACGCACGACACGAACTAAACGAAACGACTTCCCGGTTGGGGGTCTCCGTTCCACTGCGATATCACGCACCAACCTCCGATCTTGTTAGTTCGGGCATGTCCCCCTGCAGGCGGAGTTGAGAAGAAAAATAGAATATTGCCGAGCGAAACAAAACAATAATATTGCCAACAACGGTCGAATGATGGTCTCCAGACTATATCAGAGTGAGGGGGCCGAACGGTCATACACTGTCCCTGGGTGCGTGGCTGAAATGGGATTCCGCGGTGCGGATTCGTGTTGTTGTTGTTTTCTGTTGTTGTTTGTTGTTGTTTGTTGTTATTTGTTGTCGTCGTCCTACCCGCAACCCGCCCCGCGACCCACCCGCGACCCACCCCGCGACCCACCCGCGACCCACCCGCGACCCTCCCGCGACCCACCCGCGACCCACCCCGCGACCCACCCCGCGACCCACCCCACGACCCACCCCGCGACCCACCCGCGACCCACCCGCGACCCGCCCGCGGCCCACCCCGCGACCCGCCCGCGGCCCACCCCGCGACCCACCCCGCGACCCACCCCGCGACCCACCCGCGACCCACCCGCGACCCAAACCACGTTCAAGGTACAAACCAACATGTTCGGCGCCTGCGGCGGGCTTTTTTTGCATTCTTTCCAGGTGGAGAGCCCGCGACCCATCCCGCGACCAACCCGCAACCAACCCGCGACCCAAACCAAGTTCAGGGTACAAACCACATTTTTCGGCGCCTGCGGCGGGCATCTTTTGCATTCGTTCTAGGTTGAGAAACCGCGGCCCACCCGCGACCACGTTCAGGGTACACACCAAATTTTTCGGCGCCTGCGGCGGGCATCTTTTGCATGCGTTCCCGGTGGAGAATCCGCGGCCCACCCGCGACCCAAACCACGTTCAGAACCACATTTTTCGGCGCCTGCGGCGGGCTGCTTTTGCAGGAGGACGAGGAAGAGAGGAGGAGGAGGAGGAGGAGGAGGAGGAGGAGGAGGAGGAGGAGGAGGAGGAGGAGGAGGAGGAGGAGGAGGAGGA